CTTTCAGTTGGCCCAAAATAATCAGGCATAATTTCAAAATTGGTCCTATAATTTGGCCACTTTCCAAAAAACCACCCCGCCATTGGTCACTTGCAAATTTGGTCCTATAATTTGACATTTTAATCAAATTTGGTCCTTTTTATCCAAAATATGGATTAAAATGAGATTATAAAAGGACCAAAATGTCAAATTACATGACCAAATTTGATTAGAAAAGGACCAAATTTGATTAAATAAACAATTTATAGGACCAAGAATGAAAGTGGCCAATGGCGGGATGGTTTTTTGGAAAGTGGCCAAATTATAGGACCAATTTTAAAATTATGCCATAATAATCACATTAGCAAATAATAATAACAATAAAGAGGACAAATATTAATAAGGAAAAATAAATACTAATTCCAAAAATCCACAATCAATGGGGTATTACACGATCTTTTTGAACCTTCAGGGGTGGATCACGCTTAGGTTGTGTAGGACTACCTAGTGTAGTAGGTACACTGTACTCTGTCAGATCATCTTGAGACTTCTCAGCTTCGTCTGTACGTTCATTAGCCTTACAGTTACCAAGGCTATTAGCATCTTGAGTATCCTGCACACTCACAACATTTTCACAAACGTTAAAAGACACTGATGACCAACATGGGAGGATTTCTCATCAAAGGTCAATTCATAGATTCTATCACAACGGAGGTACTTGTGTTGTACACACAGTATGCTCGAATGTTGTTAGAATATCCAAGAAAGAACCCTACATCACATTTGGCATCAAATTTCTCAAGTTGTTCACGGTCATTATAAGTACAACATTTATACCCAAAAACATGCAGATGACTAAGGTTAGGGCTCTTACCTTTTCAGAGCTCATAAGATGTCGGGCCCATACCTCGACGAAGGTACACCCTATTCACGAGGTAGCATGCCGTGTTAATTGCCTCTGCCCACTATCTATGAGAAATTTTCTTGGAGTTCAACATAACTCTGTCCATCTCTTGAAGAGTGTGATTCTTCCTCTCTACCGCTCCATTCTGCTGTGGAGTCTTAGGAGCAGAAAACTTATGAAGTATACCCCGTGAATCCCAAAAATAGGCAAACTCAAAATTTTCAAACTCTCGGCCATGATCACTTCGAATACTGAATATGGAAAAACCTTTTTCATTTTGAAGTTTCAGACAAAGTCACTTAAAGGCAGAGAAGGTGTCAGATTTCTCACGCAAGAAATCAACCCAAGTATACCATGAGAAATCATCTACACACACAAAAATATACTTTTTACCTTGATAGCTCTCAACCTGTATGGGACCCATCAAATCCATGTGAAGTAGCTCCAGGATTTGCTTTGAAGCAATGTGGTTCAGTGCTTTATGAGACGCTCGAGTTTGCTTACCCAATTGACAGGGTTTCGCTGATCGAATGTTCCTTCATAGTGATTTTCGGAACCCCACGGACTACACCTGCATTAGACAATTTTGCCAAGTGAGAGTATCCAATATGACCCGAGCGTTGATGCCAGATTTCAGACTCACTAACATTTGCTTGTAAGCATTTTTCATTAAAGTCAACAAGATAGCAATTGTCAGTTGATCGAGAACCGATAAGCACACATGTACCTTCATTGTTCTTCACATAACACTTTTCACGAGAGAAACTGACATTAAGACCTTGGTCAAAAAGTTGACTCACACTCAAGAGATTTGCCTTCAAATCATCCACAAGTAAGACATCATCTAATCTAGGTTAACCACCCAAGTTCAAACAATCTGTTCCAATTACTTTATTGTTCACACCATCACTAAATGTGACTTCCCCATTTGAACCAGTTTTGATATTCAACAAGTATGCTGGTTCACCAGTCATATACCTTGAACACCCACAATCAATATACCATCTCCCTTCATGTGAGGTTCTGAGGGACACATCTGAAGCAAAGCATTTACAGGAATTTTTTGCAACCCACACTTGTCGATTTTTAAAGAAATTTTTAGAGAAATTCACTGCACGAACTTTCACTGGAACACTGGAGCGAATCCAGTTAAAACCTTTACCAGGACAAAGATCATGTTGCATTTTATAGCATTTGGGTCTGATGTGACCAGTTACCCCACAATAATGACAAATGAGAACAAAATTAAGAGGAAATTTACTTACAGATTCCTGAGCTGTTACATGAACCTTCACAGAAGGTTTAGGTGAAGAAGGTTTACTTACAGTACTTTTTACAAACCTGCCATACAAGTTGCGAGACAATTTTCCATGAAGACTTGTACCTTCAATACCAGACTTGTCTGAGAATCCAAGGCCTGGATGTTTGGTTTTGACTGTACCTTCGAAGGAAGATCAGGTTTGTCAATCTTGCCAGTGTATCCCGATCCGGTAAGATCTCCATATTGTCTTTCCATGAAAAAAGTTCATTTAGATCTGCTTTCCCTTTGTTCAATTTTCGAACGGCCTCTGTAGTACGTTACAGCTCTGCCGAGTTTGCAGTCAGTTTGCTCTGCATGCACGTATATTCGTCATGAGTCGGCTAACTTCACTTTTGAGCTTCAAAATTTCCTTGTTTTGTTTAGTAAGAAGTTTTTGAGTTGAAAATAGTTCAGACCTTAAACATTCAATGGTCTGAGTCTTTTCCAACCCATCTTGTTTAGCAAGTTTGACACTACCTTCGAGAATGGAAGTTCGAGCCTTTGCAGTATCTAATTCATTATCTTTTTCAACAGTGAAGGAGGGGGTGGACTGTTCGATCAACATTTTATTTTCCCTTGTCAGTTTATGCACTTCACTTTGAAGCTTCTTCATGGCTTCAGATGCTTATTCACATTTTTCCATGGCTAGCAAGTGAACTGGATCAACACACATGTTTTGGTCGGCTTCATCCTCAGATGTTTCAGCCTCTCTCATGCTCTCTTCAAACTTTGTCGAACATGTGAGGTGGTGAGGCACATGAACTTCTTTACTGAGGAATGAATTACCATAATACGTGTGTGGGATGGAGGTTCGTCTGAACCTTCGTCATCTGAGTCTTCCCATGTTGCTTTTTGAGACTTGTTCTTCTTCTTAAGATTAGCACACTCGTACTGAAAGTGACAAAATCCTCGACACTCCCAACATTGGTGCTTCTCAATTCGTTGAGAGTCAGGTTTTGAAAAGGGCGCACTATTCTTCTTGTCTTGAACCACGTTCTTACTATGATTGTTGACCTTTTTCCCAGTGAAATTATTCTTGTATAGTCTCCGACTCATCTTGCCGTAGTATCTTGTAATCAGTGCAAGGGCCTCTTTTAACTCGCTATCATCCACAGTCGAACCTTCATCATCATCATCGATGTCTTCTTTCTTCTCAACTACATTAGCTTTGAGAGCCAATCCCTTGCTTTTGACTTTGTCATAATTATTGTTGATCTCAAACGTCTTGAGTTCGCCAAGGAGTTCATCAGCATCCAGAGGTGAAATTCTTCGGAAGCTCTCAAGGGCTGTAATTTTCTCTCTAAACCTGGGAGCAATTGTTCGCATAATCTTTTGAACTTGACGATTCTCGAAGACTTCTTCTCCAAGCATTGCACTTTGATTCACCAGATCACAGAATCTGGCAGAGTATATATCAACTGTTTCTTCATCCCGCATTCTGATTTCATAAAATTCAATAGTCACTCATTGAAGTCTGGATGCCTTGACTGCCGTTGAACCTTTAAATTAGCGCTGTAAGATCTGCCAAGCATCTTTTGTTGTCTTGAATTAAACTATCATCTTGTGTCTTGTCTGATCAACTGCCATCATGATCGCATACAAGGCACGGTAGTTGGCTTCTTCTTGAAGCTTCTCAGCATCTGTCCAGAGATCTTCTGGTTTAGGTACCGCAACCGACATAGCTCCTTTTCCTTGATCTGGTGCTTTTGACATGACAGGGTGCTCCCATCCATTTTCAACACTTTTTCACGCACCTCTTCCAAGCGATCTTAGGAAGATCGTCATCATAGATTTCCAATACGAGTAGTTGGAACCATCCAATTGCAGAGGCCTAGCCATCGATCCACTTTCTTGATTCATGATTGCGCAAAACACAAGTCCATAGATCTTTCGTAATCCACACGAAAACCCGCTCTGGTGTCAATTGAAGTTTGATACTTGTACACCAAGTATCCAAAGTCACATACAATTTAATCAATCAGAATTCAAAGAAGATACAAGCAATTGCGGAAGCAGTATCATTGAAAATTGAACCTTCAGGAGAGCGTCTCAGTCTCTCTTTACCCTCTACTTGAACAATGATCTTGCACTACTACTTATCCGACCACAAATTCCTTGTGGTCTTTCTCGTTTGAGTCCCTCAAACTCTACCCGAATGAACTTCCATTCACTATTGTTTTTCCCTCGTAATAAAACTACACAGTTTCGATCACCTCACACAAAACATCCAAAAAAAAAAAAGAAAATCAAATCACCTAATTTCAACAGGCTAATACCTCCTCGGTTTTTCTCTCAATTAATTATAGATCAAAAAGTATACTTCACTATGCGTTCAGTCCTCCTTTTATCTTCAAGCTCCATATGGTAAGTCTCCCTCTAGCTTTGCCTCCAAGTCACGTTCAAATATGGTAGGTCTTCTTTTTCTTGTCCAAGTCCACGATCATTATGTTGCATATATGGATGGTGAATCCTGCCTTTCTTCCATTAGACCTCTCATAATAAACACACATTATCAATACACAACTCCAATTACAAATACGTTCAAGTGATCAAGTCAACTTCCCTTAAATATTCCTGTGTTTGTCTGAACCTGGGAACTCATGAAGGTTCTTCGATATACTGCCAATCTTCAAAACTTACAGAGTCCAACAACCACTGACGACCATGGGTTGACCAGTCGCACCCCAACCTTGCTAGTCTCGTTCAGCCTTGCCTGGCCGTGTATTGTACCGTCCCAGACCGCATAGAACATGCAAACTGCCCTCTCAGCTCCCAGGTACTCGAAGACCCACGAGCATCTGTCATAGCATGCAGACGTGTACACGTAGTCGATCCAGTTCAGACAGAGCGCGCCCCTTACATCCAGCGTTTGACCCGCGGAGACCTCGCAGCGAATTGATGAAACCCACAACTTTTTTAGTGATGTAGCGACTGGCTCTCGTGCACAAAGCAGAAACAACCTGTGCAGCGTCGGCCCAATAGCGTGCCAGTCCGCAGCCAAGCGTGTAGACCCTGCCCAATCTGTAGCCTAGCAACCAGACCCAGCCCAGTCAGTCCAGTTTAATACATGAGTGGTTTGACACCCGTTTCGAGCCCATGACGTGTCCCGAGCAGTCTGACTGACCCACCGAAGGTCCAACAAGCAACCAGAGACCAGATAACGAGGCCAAGTTCGGCTGCTTAACGAAGTTTGTGGTTCAAATGATCTCCAACAGTGGAAATCAGAAACGTCTCAGAGTTAGAAAAAAAAACTTAAACTGTAAGTCCTAATCCTAACTATAGATTCTGCTGCGTTAGGATTTATATTCAATAGTTTCAAATGTGCATGTCGACGATGTTTCTCATAGAATCCAACAACTGGTATCGGATCCCAGGCTAATTCTTCATTTTGCACTTTTCGAGTTAGGACTTGCGTAACATATATGAATTATTTATGTATGGGCACTACACATAGAATAATAGAATTGCAAATAAGTTTTGTTTGCAGCTATTCTTGAATTCGACTATTGAGGCCTGGATGTATGTATGTTTTTAATTCATGTATGTCGTTTTATAAGCCTAAGACATGTTGGGGATTTTTGCATTGTTGAATGTTTGTAATAATTTATTCGCGCGGTGGGACACTGCATAATTTAAATGCTTTACTAGATCATTCATATACGACCGTTGCGTGTTGCATAGTATCAATTTATGTAGTTGAATATAATGTAATTGTTTGTTGGACCTGTTGGACACTAACAAATCCTGGCGAGACGAGGCGGAGCCATCTCAGAACCCGTTGTCACCAGAACAAGCAGCGTCATGCTGGAGCTAGCGTGCGCACGGTAGCTTGTTGTCGAGCATGCACGAGACCAGGGGTTGCGCAGATGACGACCTACTATGTCCGGGGACATTGATCGGGCGACGCGGGCTTGACTAGATGCACTTGCGTGCGGTGCTGGCGGGCTTGTGCTTCTGCACAGGGCTAACGCACGCAGCTATGCCGAGTGGTTTCCTGCTGGCTCAGTCGACCGTGACCCACTTAAACACGATACCGAGACATGGCCAATAGACGTGTTAGGCGACTGACAATGTGAAGGGAAGCGAGTTCAACTCGTGCTTGCGTTGTTGGGGCACCGTGCGCGACATGCCTGTGACGAGGGTGCGACTGTGGCATGTCCCGACGACAAGTAAAAGTCCAACGGTATGAGCGTTTCTCGACGACGACTTCTCCAGAAAACACGGCGACCGGAATCAAGTTGCTTGCTCAAGAAGGAAAGTGAAAGTCACGGCGAAAAAGAAAATTCCAAGTCCGAAAGGGAAGTGCAGTTCTAAAAGGATAAGGATTGCTAGTTTCCAAATAAAATTGGAAAATTAATTATTCGCTATGGTAGTACGATTATTTTCTAGTTTATTATTGCTTTTAATTATGTATATGCTTAACTGATTTATTGCTTATGTGCAAGAAAATTAATAGGAGCATTCTTAGAAAAATCCCTCAATTATAATATTAAGTGTTAATAGGACTAAATAAATTTAAATTTCCACGGCCTCAATTACAGGTTTTTTAATGAAGTGATAAATATTTGTGCGTGGGCATTAGAGACTTCCTCCACTACCGGACAAATTTAGTCACAATTCACAAGGACTTATCTCCTTCGGAATGGTAGTAGAAAACTATTTCAAAAGCGTGTGGGCCATCCACCGGTGGACGTATAATTTTAGTAGTGGATGTTGTACCAAGTAATGGTCATACTTAGAGTACATTAAATTATGGTCTCCACCATTAGAGTAACATTTTTATCTGTACGTGCCAAAAGTGGACCAACTATTAATTATGTGCTGATGTGTCGACATGGACAATTTATGGGATTAAACCCCCCTCATGCGACGGTATGAGCCGTAGACGTCCACACCACCATGGCCTGTGGTGATTTAGTGTTTTGATATGAATTATTTTTTTATTTTTTTCGAAACAACAGATTTATTAACTAAAACACATAATTACTACCGGCTAACTAGCCTGAATATGAGGATTACACAAGACAACGTAGACAACACAACACACACTACAAGACCAAGAGAAAAAAAAAAACTCCCACAAGGAGAATACACAAAAACATGCTCCCAAACGGAGAATAACACACTACAAAAGAGGATAAAACAAAACACACACAAAAACAAAAACAAAAACAAAAACACTCCACACTAAAACACAGAAAAAACACAAACCACAAAAACAAAGAAGAAAACACCTAGTTAATACTAGAATAAACCCTCCCAACAGGAGATCAACACCACGAACCTAAACTATCGACGACGCCCACCCAACAGGAGGTCAACACCAACCAAACACCAAGAGAGGGCAGGATGATAGAAAAAGTCGTACTTCAGCTCGACTACCGACTGATGAGTAATTAGAGCCACTCAACTCGGGCCCGCCGAAATATTATCGGACACCCCAACGCTGCTTGGTCGCCCGAGCTCCAGGTAAAGGAAACACCATCACAGGGGGAACCGATTCCTCTCCGGACAACCCACATCAGCCTAGGTGCCGCAAGAAGCCGCGGGGGACAAATCCCTTGCCGGAGAAGAGGCTCATGGTGTAACACCCCAAGTTTTATTAATAAAGGAAAATACTAGCTTTAATGTTAAGCTAGCCTTTGTTAATAAATATTCATGTTTATGTTCAAGTTCCAGTGATTCAGCCAGTTAAATTTCAAGCTCGACTATTAGTCGATATGTTATTCGATTGGAAAATCGAATAAGTTTTCAGATTTAATTCCGATTCATTTACTTAGTTAATGAGTCTGAAATTAATAAGCCAAGTTGACAAACTATTCGAAATATTAATGTTCGGATTAATCGTCTAAGTCAAGAATATTCGAATTAATTTTCGAATATCAGGTTCATGTTCGGAATAATATTCCGATAGTTAATCCAGTTTAAGTTCCTCATGTCAAGTTCGGTATACCTATACTGTGACGCGTTCACATTGGTACGCCGTCCATCGTTAATTAAGTAATGGTCATTAGCCCGTGCTTAATTAACTTAATCATGTTTAAGTTAAGTAATCGAGATTAGCCTAAGATAATCATGATTAGCTTAATGTTAATTAAGATTAATTAACATTAATAAGGATTAATTTAAGGTTAACCATGCTTAAAGGTGTCAATGCTTAGCTTATGTAAACCATGTTAGTTAAGTACATGATCATGCTTAGCAAAGCCAATAGCCGTAAGATATGTTTTAGTTCCGATATAATAACGTTATCGATTGTTATTTTCGGAACTAAATTAATTATGTTCAGTCGAGATTACC